ATGAGGCCGATGAGCATGACATTTGTATCTAATCATTTCTACTTTTCTGCATCTGTAATATTTATTCTGTTTATAAATGGCTTGTACATGAGACACTACTGTGATTATAAACATAGTACATTTCTAGTGTTTTTGACTCCAAAATATAATTAACCATATGCAAAGAAAATACTGGACTGTGTTATGAACAAAGAAAGGGGAACATGGAACACAATGGACAAAGATTTTCTGAGCTGAACTTTCAGTGTTCTGAAAAATCTCACCCCAGTCTGTCATCCCATGGTCAGAAGTTAAGATAAATGCTGTGTTGCCATCATTTCCATAGAAGTCCTCAACCAATGAAACAATTTCTTGTACACCTTTATCAACTTTCCTGATATTGTTCTTATATTCACTACAGAAAAGTAAAAGATTGTAATTGTGAATCCAGAAGTACATTTGCATAACATTTAAAAATTAGACCAACCATAGCAATAAAAGCATAAAAACATTTAAGTTTTCTATTTAGCTTAATTTTTACAATATCCATTCTTCACATATTACATTAGCAATCTGAATTTAAAGCACTCCAAGCATTTAATTTTCAAACATGATATTGTATAATAAATTATCAAGAAAGTCAAAATGCAGTAGTTTATTTAGATGAAAGTCTGCTTGAAAGATTTTATTATTAGGAGTTGCCCTTTTTTCACTGGCACATTCACAATGTAATAGTGTTAACCTGTATTATCTTTCTCCAAAATACTCTTAGGAGGGACTTCTAGTTCTCAGAAGAAACTAAGGATTTTTAAAGAAATCATCAAACCAACATTCCATAGCTTCATGGGAATTGCCATGGCAGAGCTGTGATTAAGGAATGCCTTCTGCAAAACATTCTAGCTGTCCACATAGTCCAGTTTAACACCTTTTTTCTTCTAAAATGGCAGCATACAGAAGTCTCTTGTTTACTGTGTACTGCTTTTGAAAAGTTACTACTGTATGATTGTTTAATTTTTATACAAGGGATTAACAGTGATTGGAAACACAGAATGCCCAGTCCTTACATCAACCAGATGAACAAGAACTATTTATTATTAATGCAGAGGGAACTGCGCTTGTAAAACAGGTTTTTTCCTGAACAGCAATTTTTGTCCCATTCCCTTTCATGTTCTGTCATAAGATGTTTGGAACCCCTCCCTTGTCTAATTCATAAAGTTTCTTGATTTGGGAATTATTAAGAAGCATAAAGCTTTCCCACAATCTTTGGAAAGATTATAGTAAAAGATGTTAACAAAATGTCTAAACCACAGCTTTTGCATAAATGAGAGTTAACCCATTTTCCCAGAGTCACAATTTTATCTCTCACTTGGCATAGATATAATCATTACAAGAAATTAAACTAGCTGAAATAAAACTGAAACTTAAATCACACAAAAGAAATTATCCAAATATAATTATGCACTATAATTTCAATGGAGGATTTAGGCACATTCTTAACTCTCTCACTTATATCAAATGTACTCTGTAAAAAAAAAAAGGCCTTTATTTAATTGAACAGAATAGGAAAAAGAAAAAAAAAAGAAAAGAAAAGGGAAAGAAAAAAGAAAGCAAAACAGCAAACAATTATATAAAGACTCCTCATACACGTTTATACATATTTTACACAGCATTTTCAATAAAGGATCAGCACAATTCATAATCATCCATACATAACCAACATCCATAAACATTTTGATCATAAGTTGCAAGTAACATCAAGTCTTGAATCCACTGAATAATTGGTGCCATAAATCAAAGGTATTTAACATTGTTCAGCTTTGGTTGTACTCGTATTGTATTTCAAAAGATATAAATCATACATTTTTACCTTGAATGAGGCCGATGAGCATGACCATTTGTATCTAATCCTAATAAGTGCAGGAAGAAAATGATTTTTTGCTCATGCAGTTTAGAAAACAGTGTTTCATTGTTTCTAGCCAAGCTGAAGAAATCCTAGATGAGAAAACCAAATAAATTATTCTGAGCACCAGGAACTGTTCTAACAAGAAAGGTATATCATTTGCTACGTATCATCAGCCACCATGCAGAAGAACCTGGAAGAGGCTTAGATAAATTCCTCTACTGAAAGTGGTCCTTATTCATTTCTACAGAGAAGGGGGTCAATAGCATAACTTAAGTCTAAACAACTTACAACTCCTTGAAACACCTTTCAGAGGGATGAGAGCCAACATTCTCATCTTCACCATTTTTCCTCAATTAGACTCTTTTCCCATTGACTTTTATAATGAAAAGAAATGCCAAGTAAGAATACTGAAGGAGTACTTAGGAAGCAGAAGGTATGAATATTCATAATTTGTACCCCATATTTGGTAATAGCTATTATACATATGCTGAAATATATGCTGTTGAAGTCATGCTCTGATACTGGCATTTGTTTGTCCGCTGTGGAAACAGAACGAGCCTCGATCTGATCCAGCACATCTTATACACTAATGTTAAATAAAGAAAAGGTATCAGGTCTGTTTGTATTCTGCACACAGAAATCTCTAATTCCCCCTTCAGATGAAAATATGGACTCATTATACTGTAAACTTTAGAGCACATGACAGGAAAATCCAACACAAAATTGTTATATATAGTTGAAGATTATCTAAAAACCCATTTAAGATTTTTTTTTAATCCTGCCTTTATTATTTTTATAAATAGCTCAAGATGGCTAAGATACTAATACTCCTTCCTCCTCCTATTTTCCCTACAACAACAACTCTGTGAGGCGAGTTGGGCTAGGAGAGAATGACTGGCTCAAAGTCACCCAACCGGCTTTCATGCCCACAGCAGGACTAGAACTCAGTCACCTGCTTTCTAGTCTGGAGCCTGAACCACTAGACCAAACTGGCTCTTTCATTTCACTTCCATTTCATTTAAAATGTACCTCACTGTTAAAAAAAAAAATGACAACAACAAGGAATGAGACATTAGCACAAATTTGTCAACTATACCAGTCATATAATAGTAATACAAAAGAAAAAATTTTGTTCACCTTAACATGGTCAAAAACCCAAGTGTCCAGTACGGTGGCATCTTCAGCTCCAAAGTCCTCTCTTTCAGCTTTATAGCAATTGGTATAAACATGATCTCCAGTAGCACCTGCAACCAAGCATTCCAGATGAAGAGAAAAGGACAACTATACTTTGAAAAAACGTATTTTAACTTCACTTAAATGTACTTTAAAGTACATAATATGGAGTTATTTTTACACAAAACTTAATGGAAAAGAAACAATTCATATTAAAAAAAATATTTGAAATCTTCAATAACTTTTGTCTATGTATTAATAGACCAAACTTGAACAACATTCCATCATTCTGCCACTTCAAGATCTGAACTAGCATTAACAAAATTATGAATTATACATTCCATTGAAAATGTACTTTTAATATTTTTTAAAAGCTTCTACATATAGTATCAAAATATAGGAATATGTCTCAATGTTGAGCTGAAATCTACAAGACAAATTGCAATTAATAGCACGCTTTTTTCCTTTTTGATATATGTATCTCTTACTATATCTATCTATATAATGAATTTGATATAGCCATCCAAGGGATCCTCTGTTAGCTAGAAATATCTGAGCTATAAGAAGGAGGTGTCTGAGCCATTTCAGAATGTTATCTGAACATTCTGGACCTTAAAAATGTTTTATCCTCTCTTGCCTTGGCAACAGTCTGCATATCTCCATCAAGGTCATCTTTCTTACTCTCTACACCATCTCAATGTGGAAAATCAAGATGTAGGAGATTAGTTCTTGCAAGAATCTGTTATTATAGCCTATCCCAATAAAGGCAGTTGATTTTATGGTCTGGCCTACCTAGTGGGGCTCATGTATAGTGTGATAACTACCTCATCCATGCTACTGACATAGAACTGTTTTGTAGAAGAGGTGGTAAATAAATCAAATGATCCTATCACTTTAAAAACTTTAAGAAAACTATTGAATCATATTCTTAAAGGGACTACATTGGGTTTATCTTCCCCAGTGTTCTGCAAAGATCCTGAAGAAATAAATCGTATCGTATCAAAGGAGGATATTCTGAACCAAAATAACAGAAGAGCGTTTTCAAAAGACACAACGCAGATGTAACACAGCTTCTGAAGGAAGGGGAAATTTCAGTTACTGCAATCTTTTAAATCCCTCCTGACAATTCTTAATGATACAGCACAGACAAGGCAAGTGGTGTTTATCACACTATTACATTATTCTATAAATCTATAAATTTTCACTATGTTATTTAAACAGTGCAAGGATACTTTACTTGTCACTCTCATCTCCTGCCAACATATGTGTAGAGAAATTTAGTTCCAGAGAGGGGAAATAAAAAACAACTGCTCGGCCCTCGGAAAGCAGAAAGCGTGAGAAAAAGACTCAGACCTTGCCTTGACTGTATTGTCCTTACAAAGAGGCAAATAAGGTTTTGGACAAGATTTCAAGATTCTGTTAACACACCCTGCAACAATCAAGTTGCATTTCTGGAATTCCCGCCAAGTCTGTCCTTTGACCTTGCCAACCTCAAAGGGTGGACAACGTAGTACTTGTCTTGTGGGGCAGATACTCTCCTTCTGAAAGCCAAGTTGATGAGGCTTTTTTCCAGATGCTTCTAGAATTAGCTCATATGCATCCATTTTGCTTTAAAAATTGAGGAATATTTATATTCTGAGTCTTGATAGTAGCACAATATTTTTACAAGAAGAAGTAACCCATGGCCAATAGACTACCACCACTATCACCACACTATGGTATGATTTGGTGTCATGATTTCTCCTTGTTTTCCCCCAAATAAAGGTGGAAATGAAACTTGCTTTCATTTCCACCCTGAAAGCCCACATCAAGCCCCCCCAGGCCAATGCCATACCAACTCTTAGACACTATCCACTCACTTTACATGGATAATATAGCAAACATAACTCTTCCTTCCATTTTATATGTTAACAACTACAGAAGTGCTAGGAAGCTAGCATCAGGAGTCTTTAACTTGTAACAAAGATCTTACTGTGCCAAGCAGAAGAGAACCATGCTCTTGCATGGGGAGTCTGTCAAGCTTTTCTATAAATCCACCAACCCCCAGAAACCTAAAGAGACTGTAGAAAATTTGCAAACCTATACACAAGCCAATCTAATTCTTCATCTGTTAGGGTATATATTTTTAAAGAATTGTTGAATTTTTAAGGAAAAAAAATCTATCAAGGAGCGAGGCAGTGTTTTTTAAAAAAAACAGCTGGACTAAAATAGTCAGAAAACAGATTCATGAAAATCCAAAATAGTCTGAGCAATAGCAGTTCTTCAGCAGAACATTTAGTACAGAGGTGCATGTTGTCATCAATCAAGGGTGACCGTCACATTTGCATGTCCTAGAAAGGGTTTGTTTTTCTGGGAAATGAACATTCAAAACACTTCTGGTTATTGCAATTAATCATAACCCTTTAATACTTTATAAATGAAGAATCTATAACACTAAGACAAGCTCACCTTTAGCAAACATAGGTAGAATATCTGGACTTCCCCAGCTCCAAGTATATTTACTTTCATTGAACATGGAATCAAATTCCACTGGATTTTCTTTCCAACCTGTAAGTCAAGAGATGCATCGCTGAGGTTATGTGGTTTTTGAGGGGGAAAAGCCAGATTTGATTCCAGTGTTAAAAAATACAAAGGCAGTATATACATTTAGGGAAAGTGAATCCACATAATCACATTTAATTAGCAACTTACATACATATTGTTAACTGGAAAAAATTGTAATTTTTAAAATGTGAAAAATACTTCCAAATTCCCTACATAGAAGTAATAGATTTTCAACAAACCTTCATGCCAATGTTTACTAAAAAGTGACTGGAAAATCTATCTGACCAGCTCAATGCTATCAGAAATTTCAAGGAAAAGTCACCAACCTTATACATATACAGTATCATGGAAAGCTGTAGCTTGTTTTAATTGTGGCTTATTAAACAATTCAGTCTTGCAAACAAATCAAACAATAATGCCTTGTTTTGACTATTCCTGGTTTGTTTTCCATTTGTTTTCCCAACTTTCTCCTTGCATTTTCAGGAATTGGTTTAAGGTTTAAGACAGGCATAAAAATAAGTCAGGAATAAGCTCAGAAACCAGAAGCAAATCATAGTTATTTTACTTAATTCTATACATTCCCATTCACGCATCATATTAAAACATAGCTGTAAGCAGGAAGTCAGCAAGCCATTGTTTCAAACTGTGTTTACTTCCCTAAGCCAAAAAACATGTTACCATATACTGTAACTTAACATGCTATACAATCAGTATGATCATGCAATACATTATGTATCTTTGAGCCACAGATGAGAGACTTAAGACTCTAAATATATATCAATACACACATATATACGCAGAGGGAGATAGAATGAGTTAGGACAGTAGTCCTGTTCACACTTAACTGAGAACAGACCCCACTAAACCTAATGACTAATCTCAGTAGTCATATACAGAATTGGGCTGCAGATATCATTCAGATAATGTAAGTTGAAGACTAGTTTCAAAGATAATATCCATAATAGCTTAAGCTCTGCAAAACTAGCATATTCAAAAGCTTGCATAACTTTCAATATTATTTAGAAAACAGTAGAATTATGGCAGAATGTCAGCTTTCCAGTATGCACAACACAACTTAAATGCCCTCAGCATATATTAAAGCTGTTTGTTCAAAATGAATGGATTTCAAAGACATAGATTGAGTTCTATAATATACTAAACCAAAACAAATTAAATCACATTATGGTTTATGATGAAGTGTGAGCTTAACCAATTATGGTTATAATAATTCAATAAACCATAACTAACCAAACTACAACTTAACACAGCAATCTCATTTCCCAGAAAGGCTCCCTTATATCAGAGGTCCTACAGAATAATAAGGTAGGACAGGGGTTCTCAAACTATGGCCCGCGGGCCGGATACGGCCCGCTAGGGTCATTTATCTGGCCTGCCCGCCCGATTGGCCGCCGCTGCTGTCTCTCAGAAGCGGAAGTGTCGGGGCTGTATCGGGAGTTGCAGGCGAGGCACGAGGAGGGAGATCGCAGAGCT